TGTTGACCCCACGCCCCTCCCCTCCACCTGCAAGGCACACACGCAGAGCTAGTGAGTGGGCAGTGAGGGGATGACAGGTGAAACAGCAAGAGCAACAGCAAAAATGCAAGAAGGGACCACTGGTTGAGACACAACTGCAAGGCACAGACCCCCAAGGGGACCTGAGGGGCTGTAAGGCTGTAGGGGGGCTGAACCTGAACCTGAACCTGAACCTGAACCTGAACCTGAATTGAGGTCTGTGGCTTGCGAGTCGAGCCCCAACCAGCGGCGAGTTTTGGAAGCAAACAAACTGGAGGAATAAACGAGAAGCAGAACAGTAGGCAAGGACCAAGGAGGCGAAGCACTTAGCTGAGAGTTGGAGCAGCGGTGGTGGTGGCGTGGGGGGTGCGGTGAAGGAGACTGGGCAGGGGCGAGCGAAGGAGGTGCGAGCCAGCGAGGAGGGTTGAAGGGAAGGACCTGCGAGGCAGGGCAGGGCAGGGGGGAGACACAGTGAGTGCGTGGCAGGCAGAAGGGAGCGGCCCTTGCAAATGAAGCGCGAGTGCGAGTGCAGAAACGAGACATGGCGAGGCAGGCAAGGGGTTGAGGGAACTTAGCTGTAAGGCGTGAGAGCGAGCAGAGGGCAGCTGCAGCACCACCAGGTGACTCCTTCCCCGGCAGCCCTCCTCCCAGCCTTCCCGTGTGCGTCCCTCCCTGCACGGCCACCGGGGAGAGGCGTGAGGGAATGGCGGTGCTGACCCCACACCCCTCCCCCCCACCTGCAAGGCACACACGCAGAGCTGGTGAGTAGGCAGCGAGGGGGGGTGAAACAGCAAGAGCAGCAGCAAAATTGCAAGGAAAATGAGAACGGAGGGGCCACTGGTTGAGACACAACTGCAAGGCACAGACCCCCAAGGGGACCTGAGGGGCTGTAAGGCTGTAGGGGGGCTGAACCTGAACCTGAACCTGAACCTGAACCTGAACCTGAATTGAGGTCTGTGGCTTGCGAGTCGAGCCCCAACCAGCGGCGAGTTTTGGAAACAAACAAACTCGAAGAATAAACGAGAAGCAGAACAGTAGGCAAGGACCAAGGAGGCGAAGCACTTAGCTGAGAGTTGGAGCAGTGGTGGTGGTGGCACGGGAGGTGCGGTGAAGGAGAGTGGGCAGGGGCGAGCGGAGGAGGTGCGAGCCAGCGAGGAGGGTTGAAGGGAAGGACCTGCGAGGCAGGGCAGGGGGGAGGGAGACACAGTGAGTGCGTGGCAGGCGCAAGGGAGCGGTCCTTGCAAATGAAGCGCGAGTGCGAGTGCAGAAACGATGGTGCATGTGACAGCCGCCCACAGCCCCACAAGAGCCGCTACCAACCTGAACCTGCACCTGCACCTGAACCTGAACCTGAACCTGAGGGAGATTGGGGCTCTAGTGGGGTGTGGTGGCGGGGCGATACTTGCAACCTCGACCGTTCATGAGGCTTAGCGGTGCTGCCTTGCTGCCCGCCCTCCTGCTGCCCGCCCTGGTGCCCCCATCGCCTGCTGCCCTCCCCTCGCCTTGCGCTCGCCTGGCAGGGCAGGGCGGGAAGGGGAAGCGGAGGAGAAGGAGGGGAGGGCGTGGAGGAATGAGTTGACCTTCAGCAGCAAGAGGTGGGAGTGAAAATGAGAGAGTTGAAATTGGTGATGCGCGTGTGATGTGGATGGGTGTGCGAGTGATGTGGGAGCAATGAGGGCGTGATGAGCATGAGAGTGATGTGAGCATGAGAGCAGCCAGGCAGGGCGATCACACTACAGACCTCAGACTGACGCACGCACGCGGACAGCTAAGCCTGACGGACGGACGGACGGACGGACGGACGCAGGCAAGGCAAGACACGGACAGAGCTAGGGGAAGAGACAGGGAGGTCTGCAGGTTGGCCTTGGGTGGCATGGGGAGGGGCGCGTGGGATGAGGCATGGCGAGTGGCGTGGAGGCAGGGAAGCAGCGCGAGGAGGGCGAGGGTACTCATCTGCGCGCAGGGCGAGAGGCACTGGCAGCGCCATGGCGAGCCGCTGGGACGGCCAGCAGTGGTCCGCGAGAGGAGAGGGAGCGCCACGTGCTCGCTGCCTCGCCTTGCTCACGCCACGTCTCGCGTGCCTCACTGCTGCCTCCCATGCCGCCTGCTGCTTCCTGCGCACAAACACACACTATTCTCAGAAACCGTTTGCAGGGATTAACAACTTTGCGAGTGATCGAATGAAGCCAAAGCGAGATTTGTGAAGAAAACGCGAGCGACAAGGGAGGAATGGAACGATTTAACAGAAGGGTTGATGTCTTACTGCGGAATGGCGATGGAGGGAGCAGGCGCAGGGGTGGTGCGTGGCAGTGGGTGGGCGGATGGACGACGCGTGGCGAGCGGAGAGCAGCGGCTGTGGAGCCAAATCACCTGGAGATCGCTTCAGGCTTGAATCACCTGGAATGGAAAACAAAGAAGGAAATTAGTAATGCTCAGACGCGATCACGAATCAAAGATAAGAGGAAAGCATTTCTGCGACAATCAACCATAATCGACAGCAGCAAGCAGAAGGCGAGAGTGAGAGAGAGGGAAACGAACGTCCGGATGAGGTTGAGGTCGCGATGCGATCATGGAGGCGACGAATCGACGACACGTCGGCACCTCGTGCGCGATCGATTGAACGTGCAGCGTCGAGTGGAATTTCGGCAGCAGGTGACGCCGAACGAAAGTCGCGAAGTGCTCTTCAAGACGGAAAATCGACAATAGGTCCGTCCGAGGTCAATGAATCTGCTTCGGCGTGCCTAATCTGACGACGAATCGAAAATGCCGTGAAGATCGATGGAACCGCAGCTGAAACGGCTTCGTCTGAAAGTGCAGCAGCAGCTGACGAGGAATTGGAGATGCACGCAGCAGCAGAGTCGTAGCCTAGCCGATCTGAATGAAAAAACGTAAACTGGCCGATCTGAATGAAAAGCGTAAACTAGCCGGTCTGAACGAGAACGGGGCGAAAGGGAGGTGCGAAATGTGGAGGGAGAGGTGGAGGAATCAGTTTGGGTGGGATCGTAGCAAGGCGCAAGCGAGAGTTGCGTTTGCATGCCCAACTTGGGTTGGGCCCCTCCCGGGGGTGCGTAGCGTAGAAAGCCGTTGCGAGGAATATTTTCGAGCGCGAAAATGTGAAAAGCCGAATGGGATCGTCCGAATCAGCAGCGCCTATGCCACATGGCCGGTCGAAATCAAACCAGGGGGCCGAAGTGAGTGACGTGGGTTGCCTATCGACCCCAAACGCTGCCAACTAAGCTCAGATTTTCCTTTGGGGGTCACTAAGCTGCCGTGAGGGTTGAAAGAGCGCGAAAGGAGGTGGCTCGAAGGGGTAATTTTCGCGGCGGGCCGAAGCGCAACGGATATTAGAGGCGAAAGTCGGTTGATGAATGGTTCGTTCGTTGGTGGCAGATCTGGCGGGAGGTGTCTGTCAGAGCAAAAGAAAGCTGCTTGTAGGGGATGGAGTGGCTGGGGCTGGAATGTGAGCTTGCAGCGGATTCACTGCCTCGAGGTACAGTTCTGTTTCTCTATCAATTCCCTTTTCGTACACCACAAGAATTTCTTGTTACAAACTATTATTACGGGGACATGTCATGTGGATTACTATTATTATGACTTCTGTACTTTCGCTACAATGTTCGCCACGGCTTCGGAGTTGCACTTGGTTCGGGGATCAACTATGAGCCGTTCGATGGATTTGATCGAGAGGTGTGTGATACATGAACAGATTTCCCGCCATCACTGTCATGCCTGTCAGGTGCCTGGCGGTTCCCGCGCAAACACTCCAGAACCAGCTTGGTCGAAAGGGTTCGCAAAATGCAATGTCGCGTTCGCCAAAAGGGTGAACTTCCGCTCGCGAATCATTGTCCAATCGCGAACATCAAGTTTGGCAAACAAGAGGCGGCGGAAGGCAATTGCCTGCTCCGCTCCCATGGCTTGACACTTCCATCCCCTTCTTCCTTTCCTGCAAATCCTGTTCTTCCCTGAACTTCAGAAATTCATCAGGCACCTTTCCATGGCGCCGTCGTGTTCCTTGAGTGTCGCCGAATGTCATCTTACAGGCGGTATCACCTATGGCTCTTGACTTGCGTGCCACTCAACAGCACGAAGCACCTAGCTCTCTCGTATTCGCTTCATAGATTTCATCATCTGAAGCTCCTTACGACTATTCTCAGTCGGTTCAACTCTGCGTGAGCGCTGAATTAGCTCTACTCTAGTCGCTGAGAGGCAACTCTCTCTTGTTTCGAATTCTTAGGCGAGACGAATCTGATGGCGCAAGCGGTTACCTGGGAGAAGCGACGCCAGCAGTTTCCACCAGTCTCAACGATCCATCCTGAACGTCTGGAAGTGATTACCTGACCGGAGCAGTAAAGGAGCGTGGTTGCAATCAGCTTTCACTTTGGGAAGAATAGAGGAACGAACATTTTCGACGGACGACGATTGACGGACGTCGAGACGGACGACGATTGACGGATGGCGTTTGACCTGTGACGGACGACCGTGACGGACGACGATTGATGGTCGACGAGTGTCGGACTACCTGTGACGGACAAGGATTGACGGACGACGGTCGATGAGTGACGTTCGACGAAAAGGACGATTATTGACGGCAACGATTGACGGAGGGACCGTCGTCGCCGAGTAAGAGGGTGCGAGGCCGTCGTCGGTGTTAACATGACGTGAGCGCCGAAAGTAGAGCGGATAGCGGCGATCGGCGACTGTCGAATGGCGAGCGTTGAGCAGCGAATGTCGACTGGCTAGTGACGAACAGTGGGCGACTAATAACGTGCGCGGAAATCGTCGAGCGGCTCTCGAACCACGAGCAACCATGCGGGTGATGGCGACCAACCGCGTACGACGTTCCGCGTGCGACGTTGTGTGGATGCTGGCGGCATACCGCATGCGACGACGTGCGGAAGATGGCGGCGAATCACGTGCGACGTTCCCTGTGCGGTGGTGTGCACAATGGCGACTGTGTGCGACCGTCTGCGGAAGACGGCGACTTACAGCGTGCGACTTTCCGCGTGCGGCGTTGAGCGGATGCTGGCGACATGGCGCACACGACGACGTGCGACCAACGACATGCGACGTACCGCGTGCGACGTAGTGCAGTTTCTGGGGACGAACCGCACAACAGGTGTGCGGAATTCGGCGACGAACTGCATGCGACATTCCGCGTGCGACGTTGTGCGGAAGACGGCGTCGAACCGCGTTCGACGTTCCCTGTGCGACGGTGCCACCGCGAATGATGGCGAGTGCGAATGTGTGCGGAAGACGGCTGCCAACCGCGTGCGACGTTCCGTGCGGCGTGCAGATGCTGGCGACTGCGACGATTTGCGACGAACGGCATACGATGTACCGCGTGAGACTTTGTGCGGATGCTGGAGACGAACCGCGTGCGACGTTTCCGGTGCGACGGTGTGCGGAGGATGGCTACTTCCCGCGCGCGACGTTGTGCGTATGCTGGGAGCATGCCGCATGCGACGATGTGCGACGAACGGCATGCGACGAACCGCGTGCGACGAACCGCGTGCGACGTTGTGCGGATGCTGGGGACGAGCCGCGTGCGACCGTGTGCGGACGACGGCGATCAACAGCGCGACACTGTGCGGATGATGGTGACAAACCGGATGCGATGATGTGCCAATGATCATACCACGTCCCAGAAGCAGCTTCAGCACTTCTGCTGTGGCTAAGTCTCCTCTTTGGCCCCCCCCCTCTTCACCTCACCTCCCCCTTCGCTGTCTTGTTCCGTCTCTTTCGCTGTTGCCAAACTTCACCCCCTCACTTCCAATCCAAACTTGCTGGGCGCATGGTGGTGGTGGTCCGTGGTGCTATGGCAGCAGAGCTCATGTAGAGTGCAGTGTAGTGGCAGCGGTGGGAGAGATGAGTGGGAGGGGGAGTGCATTCATGCCATGCGCGCGTCCCTGTCTACCCCAGTCCCCCCTCGCTGGCTCAGCTCACTGCTCTAGTGCCGTGGGCCACTGTCGCCATGCGCCTTCCCCCTCCCACCACGTCCCACACCACTCGATTGCGCTGTGCACGCTGAAATTCCAATTCATGCCGTTTCTTATTAATGTTTGCCGTGACTTGCTTGTTCCTCTCTTGTTCGCCGTCCGTCGATTCACTCTCTGTTTGTCGCTCTTTCTGCTCTCTCTTTCTTGCTGTTCCTCATGCAGGGCGGCAGTGGGATGACGCACGGCAGGCACAGCGGCTGCTGCCCGCCCTGCTGATGACAGCTCACTCAACGGGAGCGCATGCAACGGGAGAGCATGTGGGCGTGCGCGCTGCGGGATGACGCGTGCATGCAGCTTCGGCCGCTGCTGAGGAATCTCCGAACGCTGTGCTGCTGCTGCTGGGAGGGCTGCTGCTGGGAGTGCCGTTGATGATGGGAGTCACTCTGCTGCTGGCAACAACTGCTGCTGCTCCGACGTTCAACCCGTCGTACCGCTGCTAAGTCCCCTCTTAACCCCTCTACTCACCCCATTGCCTTCCTTATCGCTTTCTGTCTTTGGTTCATTTTCTTGTCGCTTTGCTTTCTCGGCGCGTGCTCGAAATCAAAACGTCAGTTCCGCATGGCGATGGTAGCACATGGCACCGGGGCGGCTTGAGCTCACACTAGACTAGAGTTGTAGGGGGCTAGAATAGAATGCACTCATACACATGCTCGCGTCTCTCTCTTACCCCAGTCCACCCTCGCATGCTAGCTCGCTGCCCTAGTGCCTTGTGCTACCATTGCCTTTCGTGTTGTTCAGCTTGCTTGCTTTTCTTCTGCATTTTTCGCTAAAGGAATTGTCATTTTCATAACTGTTTCTGCCTTCCTTTCAATGTTTGCTCCTACTGGGCCAGATTCTTTATTCCCTTCTTCTCCTCCTTCTCTCTCCAACTTATTTCCTTGTCCCAGGGTCAGAGCGGAGGGAGGGCAGTGGGATGACGCACGGCCTGAGTCCTGCATGCCCTGCTGACCACGCCACTCCCTCACGGCGCTGCTGCTGCTGGGAGGGCTGCTGCTGGGAGTGCCGTTGATGATGGGAGTCACTCTGCTGCTGGCAACAACTGCTGCTGCTTCCGTCGCTCAACCCGTCGTACCGCTGCTAAGTCCCCTCTTAACCCCTCTATTCACCCCATTGCCTTCCTTATCGCTTTCTGTCTTTGGTTCATTTTCTTGTCGCTTTGCTTTCTCGGCGCGTGCTCGAAATCAAAACGTCAGTTCCGCATGGCGATGGTAGCACATGGCACCGGGGCGGCTTGAGCTCACACTAGACTAGAGTTGTAGGGGGCTAGAATAGAATGCACTCATACACATGCTCGCGTCTCTCTCTTACCCCAGTCCACCCTCGCATGCTAGCTCGCTGCCCTAGTGCCTTGTGCTACCATTGCCTTTCGTGTTGTTCAAGATGCTTGCTTTTCTTCTGCATTTTTCGCTAAAGGAATTGTCATTTTCATAACTGTTTCTGCCTTCCTTTCAATGTTTGCTCCTACTGGGCCAGATTCTTTATTCCCTTCTTCTCCTCCTTCTCTCTCCAACTTATTTCCTTGTCCCAGGGTCAGAGCGGAGGGAGGGCAGTGGGATGACGCACGGCCTGAGTCCTGCATGCCCTGCTGACCACGCCACTCCCTCACGGCGCTGCTGCTGCTGGGAGTGCCGTTGATGATGGGAGTCACTCTGCTGCTGGCAACAGCTGCTGCTGCTCCGACGTTCAACCCGTCGTACCGCTGCTAAGTCCCCTCTTAACCCCTCAACTCACCCCCTTGCCTTCCTTATCGCTTTCTGTCTTTGGTTCGTTTTCTTGTCGCTTTGCTTTCTCGGCGCGTGCTCGAAATCAAAACGTCAGTTCCGCATGGCGATGGTAGCACATGGCACCGGGGCGGCTTGAGCTCACACTAGACTAGAGTTGTAGGGGGCTAGAATAGAATGCACTCATACACATGCTCGCGTCTCTCTCTTACCCCAGTCCACCCTCGCATGCTAGCTCGCTGCCCTAGTGCCTTGTGCTACCATTGCCTTTCGTGTTGTTCAGCTTGCTTGCTTTTCTTCTGCATTTTTCGCTTAAGGAATTGTCATTTTCATAACTGTTTCTGCCTTCCTTTCAATGTTTGCTCCTACTGGGCCAGATTCTTTATTCCCTTCTTCTCCTCCTTCTCTCTCCAACTTATTTCCTTGTCCCAGGGTCAGAGCGGAGGGAGGGCAGTGGGATGACGCACGGCCTGAGTCCTGCATGCCCTGCTGACCACGCCACTCCCTCACGGCGCTGCTGCTGCTGGGAGGGCTGCTGCTGGGAGTGCCGTTGATGATGGGAGTCACTCTGCTGCTGGCAACAACTGCTGCTGCTTCCGTCGCTCAACCCGTCGTACCGCTGCTAAGTCCCCTCTTAACCCCTCTATTCACCCCATTGCCTTCCTTATCGCTTTCTGTCTTTGGTTCATTTTCTTGTCGCTTTGCTTTCTCGGCGCGTGCTCGAAATCAAAACGTCAGTTCCGCATGGCGATGGTAGCACATGGCACCGGGGCGGCTTGAGCTCACACTAGACTAGAGTTGTAGGGGGCTAGAATAGAATGCACTCATACACATGCTCGCGTCTCTCTCTTACCCCAGTCCACCCTCGCATGCTAGCTCGCTGCCCTAGTGCCTTGTGCTACCATTGCCTTTCGTGTTGTTCAAGATGCTTGCTTTTCTTCTGCATTTTTCGCTAAAGGAATTGTCATTTTCATAACTGTTTCTGCCTTCCTTTCAATGCTTGCTCCTACTGGGCCAGATTCTTTATTCCCTTCCTCTCCTCCTTCTCTCTCCAACTTATTTCCTTGTCCCAGGGTCAGAGCGGAGGGAGGGCAGTGAAATGACGCACGGCCTGAGTCCTGCATGCCCTGCTGACCACGCCACTCCCTCACGGCGCTGCTGCTGCTGGGAGTGCCGTTGATGATGGGAGTCACTCTGCTGCTGGCAGCAGCTGCTGCTGCTTCCGTCGCTCAACCCGTCGTACCGCTGCTAAGTCCCCTCTTAACCCCTCTACTCACCCACTTGCCTTCCTTATCGCTTTCTGTCTTTGGTTCGTTTTCTTGTCGCTTTGCTTTCTCGGCGCGTGCTCGAAATCAAAACGTCAGTTCCGCATGGCGATGGTAGCACATGGCACCGGGGCGGCTTGAGCTCACACTAGACTAGAGTTGTAGGGGGCTAGAATAGAATGCACTCATACACATGCTCGCGTCTCTCTCTTACCCCAGTCCACCCTCGCATGCTAGCTCGCTGCCCTAGTGCCTTGTGCTACCATTGCCTTTCGTGTTGTTCAGCTTGCTTGCTTTTCTTCTGCATTTTTCGCTAAAGGAATTCTCGTTTTCATAATTGTTTCTGCCTTCCTTTCAATGCTTGCTCCTACTGGACCAGATTCTTTATTCCCTTCCTCTCTGCCTTGTCTCTCCAACCCATTTCCTTGTCCCAGGGTCAGAGCGGAGGGAGGGCAGTGGGATGACGCACGGCCTGAGTCCTGCATGCCCTGCTGACCACGCCACTCCCTCACGGCGCTGCTGCTGCTGGGAGGGCTGCTGCTGGGAGTGCCGTTGATGATGGGAGTCACTCTGCTGCTGGCAACAACTGCTGCTGCTTCCGTCGCTCAACCCGTCGTACCGCTGCTAAGTCCCCTCATAACCCTCTACTCACCCCCTTGCCATCCTTATTGCTTTCTGTCTTTGGTTCATTTCCGTAGCGCATTGTTCTCTCACTGCATGCTCGAACTAAAACTTCTTTTCCGCTTGGGAAGGGGCCAAAGTTGAGTTGGGGGTTTTCGGGCGCGTAGCAATGGTAGCGCATGGCACTGGGGCGGCTTGAGCTCATACTAGAGTCGTAGGGGGTTAGAGTAGAATGCATTCATAATCATGCTGCGTCCCTTCCTAATTTGCCTGCTAGCTCGGCGCCCTAGTGCTGTGTGCTACCATCGCCTCCCCTTTCACTGCTTCACCGTGCTACGTGCTTTCTGTCTTCAGCTTTTGTTTCCGTTACTCATTTGTTCTTGTTATCTCTGCCACGTGCTTCATGCCTCCTTGCATGCATTTTACGGCTTTCATGCTTCTACTGACCATGTGGGTTCCTTTCCGCTGCTCTCTCTTCTTGCTCTCCTTTGCTCCACCCCTCTTGTCTGGTGCTATGGCAGCGTGGTGGAGGGAGGGAGGGCGGTGGGATGACGCACGGCAGGCAGTCACAGCGGTGTGCGAGCCTCCTGGAAGCCTCACGCCACTGTCCTGCAAGCACCCCCATACGGCTAAGTTCCCTCTCCCTTCGCCCTCGCCACCCTTGCAGCTTCTGCTTTGTGGTTATCATTGCCCACTTTTGTACTGCATTCTTTCCTCACACGTTCGCGTCCCCCTCTACCCCAGTCCCCCCCTGCAAGCTTGCTCGCTCCCATATGCCACAGCCTGCCATCACCACACGCCCTTCGCCTCCCACTCTCCTCCCAACCCCTCCCATGCCCTGCTGCCATGTGGTCGTTTGTTTTCACTTTCGCTTTCATATACTTTTGTTTGCTCTTTCCTGCTGCTCTCACCAATTTCTATGAAGTCTGTGAATGCTCTTTCACACTTATGCCCCTTATTATCCTTTGCTTGTTTCAAGGCCTGCAATCTCTCCCCTGCCGAGTGGCTCCCCTTGCTGTTCCTGCACTCT